TCCAAACTCCACAATGGATTATCAGCTATCTTTCGAAGATTGTTTTCGTCCGAAAATGAAGAATTGAAAGAGATAACTTTAAGAATGAAATCAATAATCCAAGACATGAGTCAACATGAGGTTGATATCAGCAGAAGAACGTCACTACTATCTATTTATAAAGATGAATTAATTGTTGATTTTTGTTATCAATATGAAATAACATTAATCAATGAGCCTAGGCTTATTCTTCTAATTTATGAAGAGTTATATACAAAAAAAGATAGTACTTCGAAAGTTTGCTATCAGCAATTTGAGAAAAATAAAATAGGAAAAGATAGTGAAATATTTGATTGGCATTTGAAGTTAGCTGAAAATGGAAATGCTCGGATACAATGTATTCTTGGTTTCTGCTGTCAAACTGGTACAGGAATACAAAAAAACGAGAAAAAATCATTCGAGTGGTATTTGAAATCAGCAGAGGGTGGAGACGCTAGAGGAAAACGCAATCTTGGTTATTGTTATCAAAATGGTATTGGAACGCTAAAAGACGAGAAAAAAGCATTTGAGTGGTATTTAAAATTAGCAGAAGATGGAAATACTAGTGGACAATATAATCTTGGTTATTGTTATCGAAATGGTATTGGAACACAAAAAGACGAGCAAAAAGCATTTGAGTGGTATTTAAAATCAGCAGAGGATGGAGATGCTGACGGACAATTTAGTCTTGGTTATTGTTACGATGAAGGTATAGGAACACAAAAAGATGAGAAAAAAGCATTTGAGTGGTATTTAAAATCAGCAGAAGGTGGAAATACTAGTGGACAATTTAGTCTTGGTTATTGTTACGATGAAGGTATAGGAACACAAAAAGATGAGAAAAATGCATTTGAGTGGTATTTAAAATCAGCAGAAGGTGGAAATACTAGTGGACAATATAATCTTGGTTATTGTTATCAAAATGGTATTGGAACGCTAAAAGACGAGAAAAAAGCTTTTGAGTGGTATTTAAAATCAGCAGAAGGTGGAGATGTTGACGGACAATGCCATCTTGGTTATTTTTATCTTAGTGGCATAGGGACGCAAAAAGATGACAAAAAAGCATTTGATTATTCTTTGAAATCAGCAGAGGATGGATATGCTGTAGGACAATGTAACCTTGGTTTATGCTATCTTAATGGCATAGGGACGCAAATTGATGATAAAAAAGCATTTGAGTGGTTTTTGAAATCAGCAGCGGGTGGAAATGCTGAAGGACAATGTCGTCTTGGTTTCTGTTATCGAAACGGTATTGGAACACAAGCCAATAAAAATAAAGCGTTCGAATGTTATTTAAAATCTGCTGAACTTAATTTTAAGTTTGCTCAATTTAAATTAGCTGAATGTTATCAATACGGATTTGGTATCTCAAAAGATTTGGATATAGCGTTAAAATGGTACAAAAAAGCTCATGACAATGGTCATGATCGAGCAGGGGAGTTAGTTGAGTCATTTGATTTTGAAAAAATCTACATTTTTGATTAAATTTTTCAATTGACTTAAATTTCATAGATAACTGAATGTCAATTAAAATTCAATTCCATTCAAAATAAGCAAAAATATACACTCAAAATAACTTTTATAGTGTTAAAATTTATAAAGCAAATATTAATAATTTATAATCAACGTTGCTTCCTATTGTACGAAACATTTAGTTTGTCAGTTTCTTCCTAGAATTCTATCGATTCGATATATTAATTAAATTAATGTTATTGCTTTAAAGAAGATGCTTTCATTCCGTTTTTTTTATCAAACTGCTTTAAATGATCATAGAAAATAACTATAGTATTTTTTTTATTTAGCTCGATAAATATTTATGTTGCTGAATTAACAACTCTCAATTTGCTAGTAGAGTGAATTCGCATAAAATCCAAAGGATTTAATGAAATGAATTTTTCCTGGCCCCTCATTCACTTGTTATTTAAAATTTATCTAATATCCAACAAATTATGATTGAAGCATTCTGTGACAAAAGCTCGGAATTGAAACATTGATAGTATAAAAAATTGGTTTTATATATTTCAATCAAAGCAAAGCAAAATTTTGCGCGCAATTCATTTTTTTTGTTTCAATATTAATAATTGCTGAATTCAAAGCATTAATTTTATATAATAATGTTTCATAGATAAAAATCTTATACAACAATTGCATTGCTACTTAACGTTAACTGAAAATCTGAGAAATAATTGTTAAAAGTTGAGATGAACAATATAAAAATATTTTGATTAATAATTATAGCACAAATTACAGTGATTGATGCAATGAAATTCGTAACAAAGTGACCTTATATCATTCATACAATATTCTGTGTTGTTATTTCGAATTATATCAAAAAAATTTAATTGATACATCAGCATACTGAAAAATCTGTTCTAGAGTAGCAATGTCTTTTTTGCATGAACAAAGAGAGTAGATTTTTGGAGAAATGAATAAAACCTTTTCTTTTACGCCATATCTAAAAATGGAAATCAATTTCTTAGTAGTCCGATTTATTACATGTATAATAATTTCCATTAAAAATATAAATAACTTGGTCACTACGAGAGATTGAACCCGTCTAAGGTTGAACTCTAGTCACTACTTCCACAAAATTTTCTTCTGCAACAGCTGAACTGATAACAATATCATCATCAAATCACCACCCAATTAACACAACCTGGCCATTTCTTCCATGTGTTTAACATGATTAATCATCTTCAAAACACCATTCGTCGAATCCGATCTCGCATCCGGTTCAAGATCAATGAGAATCGTGTAGATATATATACAGTGGCACGCAAAAATAACGCACCACTTACATTGCTAATCGTTAATCACCTGATTCTCACTCACATGCAATCCGATGAACGCAAAAAAGATTTGCAATCAACGTCTAATACAGTTCTTTTAAGTTAACACAAAAAAACGCATTTTTGCCATTCTTTGGTATGGGTAGGGAGAACTAAGGAAAACTTTGTTTTTAATATAAAATAAAAAAATTTCGATAACAAAAAAAATTCCTTAAACTTTATTTAATTTACATATTTTTTTAAACTTCTCTAAGTAAATGACGCAACTTACGTTGGAAAAACGCGCTCAAGCAATTACATTGCTTGTCGAAGGTTATAGTGCACATGAAATTGCCCGTCGCTTCAAAGTTCATCATTATACTATACTAAGACTTAAAAAAAAAGCCAAGGAAACTAATAGTGTCCAAAATAAGCCTCGAACTGGTCATCCCCAAAAACTTACTATATGCGATAAACTAACCCTTGTTCATCGAATTACAACTGGCGAATGTTCTAATGCGGTCCAACTTAAAAAATCTCTACTAATCAATGAAGGAATCGATGTAAATGTAAGTACAATACGTAGAGTATTACATAGTAGTGGTTTAGTGACGCGAGTAAAGCAGAAAAAGCCATATCTGTCAGATTTACATCGTCAAAAACGACTTGACTTCACAAACAAATATAAGGACTGGAAACTTGATGATTGGTACAAAGTTATATGGTTTGATGAATCAAAATTTTAGATATTCGGATCCGACGGACGTCAGTATTATTGGAAAAGGCCAAACAACCCATTAAAAAGCTCGCATATTAAACCTACAATGAAGTTTGGTGGTGGCAGTATAATGGTATGGGGATGTTTTGGTATTCAGGGTACTGGTTATTTTCGTAAGATTGTTGGAACAATGGATAGCGCATATTACCGGCAAATTCTTTCAAATGAATTGTTTTTCTTGCTAGATTTATATAATTCAAGGCTAAATGATATTATTTTTCAACAGGATAATGATCCTAAACATACCGCAGGTAAAACGAAGAAGTGGTTCGCCAATAATCATGTGACTGTCTTAAGCTGACCACCACAGTCACCCGATCTATTGAAAATCTTTGGCGAGAAGTGGATCTTCGTTTTCGTGAACTTCCGGGTATAATTGCCAATAAGGATGATCTATGGGAAAAGATAGAGGATACGTGGGATAATATTGATATTGATTATTGTATTAATTTAATTAATACAATGCCACAAAGAATTAACGATGTAATTAAAGCGCAAGGGGGTTATACGAGGTGGTGAAAATAATGGTTTATAATTTTTTATCCGGTTATAATTTTTTTAATAAAATTTTAAACGAAAAAGATTTTTATTTAAAAAACGGCAAAAAAAACGCACCATCGTTTATGCGGATTAACAATTATTGCCCATAATTGGGCATAATAATATCAGGTCGTTTTTTATTGAAATAACTAATACTAACATAGTTTTATATATCACCATTTGCATGTTTGTCGGCTCTTTCGTGATTGAGAATTGTGTGATTAAAGATCGACAATGCAAGTGTTCGTTATTTTTGCCACTGTTCGTACGTATACGGTAACGGTAACAGTAATACGTATCACGTATTCTTGATCCGGATCCAAATGAAATTGAAGGATCAAAGAACTGTTTACTTAACAAGACGTTGAACAAGATGATTTTAATTATGCATCGTAAACAAGAGAGTCGACATATATAATGGAAGTGGAAAAAGTGTACGTATAAGGAATTTTTTCGATGAAGTAATTAATTTTTTTTGATTATCATTTTATTTGGATCGAAAAATAATCAAGTAAATTAGCTAAGTTTATCGAAGAGAATTCCTTTGAAAAAAGTTCAGTATGACCTCGTATTTAAATAGGATGTGCATTTAAAGAATAAATTCAGCTACTAGGACCTATAGCTTGGGTTAAGCTAGAGGGTGCACTTGGGGAGGGTGTGCATTTAGGGTGGGTGCATTTAGGGAGATTTTACTGTACTTTTGTAATCTAGGTTCTCTTTATAGGAAAAAGTAGTTAGAATTTCCGAAGATGATGTAATTTTATTATCATATATCGTACTACTTATATAAAATTTAATTAGTTCACTAAACACCACACACACACATCTCGATCTGGATCACGAATTAATATTTATTACACGTATAATAAATTCTACTGATCGGAAACAATAATAAATCAAATACCAAATCGCACCAAATCATTTAAAACCTCCTGCATTTGCTTCTGACGCTGGAACAATTCCTCACGAGTATTAATAATAGAGCTATCTTCTTGTATCAGTTCACGAACATCCATCCCTTCACCATCTTCGCTTTCTATGATTGGTATCAGTAGTTTTTCCTCAATAAACTTGGGATACCTGTCGATAAATGCATGTATGATAGTCATTGCAACGGAGTCAACGAACCGTTTGAATGATAGTTTGAAGTAGGCCATCAACGTAGCGATTAACTCTAGATTATCGGATGGTTGTCGATTGTCATCGTTCCGAACTGCTGTTTGGAGAGCTGCAAGATAGGCGATTTTTCCTTCAAACATCGATCCTTCGTCCAAACTATATGGGTAAGAAGATTCCATCGACATGTTGAATTTAAGTCGTTCGAGTGTTTCTTTCTTGCATTCATCCAGCCAGTTCATGGCATTGTGTCTATTAAGATCAAATTAAATAAGGATGAAAAATCAAGTTTATTTTGCAATTTATTATTAATTAATATTTACTTCATAAGTCCTACGAGCAACGGAAATCGAGCAAAGATCGCTTCAATCGACTTTTCAACTACTTTACTCATAATACCATGAATATTTGATAAACAGTGAATCGCAGTGTTTTTCCATTTCTCTTGAAAATCTTTTATCGACACTAACGCGGTAGAATACGGTATAAATCCCGGCAAATGTCTTCCTCTAGCATCATTGATTCTACGCTGAATATCCGCCTCAGTAATTTCTTTAAGCGGCTCGGATTCATCCAAACCAAGGTTAAATTCCGTTTTTTCCGGATCCAGAAATTCTCTCAAGACGTCGAATTTTGCAGCGTTGCCGTCGCTTAATTTACCGACAACAAATATTGGTCGTGTACTGCAGAGCTCAATTTTAAATCGTTCGAATTCTTTGTTTACTTCTTGCCACAGATCTATCTTTTCACCTTTTGTCTCTTTTTCTATCGCAGATGCACAATTTCCGACCATGCGGTTAAGTTCGAACTGTGGGTTTCCGGTTATAGGATCAGGCAATTTTTCAAGTTTAGCACGAACCTATTATTTATATATAAAGTATTAACTAATTGAAAAAATACGTTTCAAATATAAGAATCAAAGAATATATATAAAAATTTTACCTCATCAAGTTGCTCTTCAACTTCTTTTTTTATTGAAGGAAGTCCACTTTCAATGCGTTTTATAAGCAAATCACTCAATTTATCACGTAAATTTTCTACGCCGATTCTGCTTTGAAAATGAGAATGATGCCAAATGGGTGATTTTTTAAAGAACTAACCAAAAAATTTGATAGAAAAAAAATATTTAGTAACAAATAAATAAAATATGAGTCTCGTATTTTTAACGATCCTACTTCTTTTTCCGCCTTTCGTGCTGAATCAAAGTCCGTTCTATCTTTAAGCTCACTTGGAGAAGGATTTTTCACAATATAGTATCCTAATTCGAGTCTATGCGATTCACCTCGCATAATTTTTAACCATTTGTTTTCTTCACTATTTTCGATTGTATCGGGTTTTGTAAGGACGCCTAGAGTTCTTGCACCGGATTTGTCCACTTTCTTAGCTAATCCGACAATTGCCTGATTTTGAATTTCATCTTTACAGGAAATAGTCGCGATAATGATGGATTTTTCATTTTCGATGTAGAACTGAACTAAGTCCTGTATTACTTTGATGAATTTTTCGTCTCGTGTACTTTCTGTGTGACCTTTAAATAATAAAAAGAAAATTATAGTGTAAAATTTAACTAAACATGGAGAGACTAACTGAGAAAAAGAAAAAAGCAGCTTACGAATAATTCCAGGCAAATCAATCAAACTTAAATTAGGTACTTTAAGACCTTTAATTTCTAAACATACAACATTTTTCGTAAATTTTATTTCGTTTTGCTCTGCATCTTCTTCAGGATCCTCTGCAAAGGTCCAATAGAGATATTTTTTCCAATTCTCCCTAGGATTAAGAAGAGCTTTCTGTGCACGTCTTGCCATGAGTTCTACATCTGCTGAATCTTCGATAAGATTACCAAAGTTTTCTTCTGGGAGCGATAGTTTTTTATCATCGTAGTCGTCATATTCTCTTCTTAGTTTTAATTGACATTGCCAAGGCTCTTTTGATTCCACTAAGCGGATTTCCATGACGCATCGAGTACACGTGCCGTCTGAGCGTGGCAGCTATTAATTGTATTACAAAAGATTCATTTGGCTTATAAGTACAATATAATTGTATGTTTTTATACCTGTACACCGGAAATGGCCTCCAACAAACTACTCTTCCCCGCGGACTGATTACCACAGAACACAATAGTCGGCAAATCAACAGTTTGTTGAGCACAATGTCCTCGTAAACTATTTAGAATTTTTATATAACGTATCGCTTTTTTCGCATATTGACTATCTGATAGGCCTGGAGGGCTGGTTTGTGTCATTTTTTAGGTTGATTCTTGTATTTGTAGTAAAATGATTTTGGTTTTATTGTTACGAATCTTAATCGTGGTCAGTATGAAGAATATTACCATCCAATTTATACTACGTACACGTTAATGGTGGTGATCTTTATCATTTATATCGATGTTGTCGTTATGCTGAGAATTTGGTAATAGGCAGTGTTGTACACGACAATTTTAAGTTAAATAGGAGTCGAGACATTCTTGGACGGGACGGGTACAACACTGGTGATAGGTACGCAGTCTCGGAGTTTCGATGTCATAACATCAAAACCTGTTTAGTACGAGAAACTGTTTTAAATCATTGTCTTTGTATAGTGCAACTCGATAAACTTTGTTTCTAATAATAGACAACAAAGAGGGCTTATTAAATTTTTTTCTTTCATGAAATAAAGTAGATAAGCAATTATTGAATCAAAGTTTCGCACTTTGTGACTCGATAGATAATCTTACTCCGTGGTTGTCCATACATTGATTTTTGTTTGAAGATTATTATTAGCTGTTTCAATGCTAATTTATCGATAACATTAAACGATGTTCCGTGTATGACCCTTTTTTAGTAATTTTTAATTTGTCACATGTTTTATTATATTAAATATCACATATTTATTGAAAACATTTATTTGTCACAAGTTGCTTATACATGTACACGGCAATTCTTAATACGTATGAACGCTGTGCACACGATAAAGAGAAACACCAACTTCTTACTGTTACGTATTTATTGAATAAACTCTATAACAATTCATTGATTTTGAGTTAAACCATATAGAAAATATATTTCATTATTGATTCCTTTACGTATCGTCCAAATATTTTCGCAATACGTGTCGATACGTATTTGTCCGAAAACAATTGAAAATTTATTATCGGTATTGTTTCGTTATACATGTATACTGTAGTTAAAATCTGTTTCCAAATTTTCTGGTTATTTGTAATCGGAATCAAAAGCTTCGCCATCGAATGATATTGATTTTTTGAATTCATTATTAGTCGGATTTATTTTCGAAAAATTCATTTGATTAAGAATTTTTGTTTCTCAAACAGTATTATTATTATTAAAGAAAAAGAAATAGTAAATTTTCTTTCGTCGTTATAGATGGTACATGTATTTTCGTTTCTTCAACTCTACCAAAAATAATAAGACAAAAATTATGTAATTACAACTAAAGAAAGCGTGCATTATTAGTTTATAAACTAAAATTAAAATCAATTGATTTATAGTTATGTTGTAGTCAACACCTTCATCGAATTTATACCATTAAACACGTATGAAATTCCCATATAATATCCAAAATCAGGACCATTATGTAGACAGATTTTCTGAGGACCCTGAATACATTGATTAGAACTTCGTCGTTTGGAATTATCAAATTTCAGCAGATGTTCAGTGATAATTACGTACGTAGTGTATATAATTTCTAAATTTGAAGTACAATATACTGTATTGAATTTTGTCGATAACTTCAAAATAAAAAAGATAGCGATAGTGGTACTGTTACCGCCAGCGAACAAAAATCTTCAATTCCGGCTTTTCTGGATGAAACGGCGAAAGATGAGCCGTGGATATTGCCAACGTCGGACGGATGTTTCATCAACATCGCAGATTTCCTAATCCGACATGTTTTTCAGCGTCTACAGCATATTCCATTACGATTATCAACACTGTTGCAGATTTCCCAAACCGATATATTTTTCAGCATTGCTTCAGCAAATTCCCATCAACAATGCTGCAGATTTCCTAATCCGACATGTTTTTCAGCGTCTACAGCATATTCCATTATGATTATCAACACTGCTGCAGATTTCCCAAACCGGTAAATTTTTGAAGATTTTTTACTAATAAGTAATACAGTCGATATAGATTCTATTGAATTTATATTGTTTACAATAGTATCTGCACGTCGTTATATCGAAAGTCGACTGTACAGATATTTTTACTATAATAAGTCACTTGTATTATTAATATTAATGCAGACATAATTTTATTATTTAATTTGTTTTGCTATTATTTCAAAGTTTTATAGATTTATAAACAAAAAATTCTACAAATAATAGATTAGAAAAAAATCAGAAAATTATCCAGATTTTCAGGAAAAAAATTTAAAAAACCTGTTTTTCTGAAAATATCTAGATATTTTCCTGAATTTTTTAAATAATTTCAGGAAATAAATAACCTGTTCTTTCTTGAAATTATCCAGATATTTTTTAATCTATCATTTTTTATTTTTTTTATTTAAATTCTGAATATACAATTATACAAATTATTGCTGTTTTTTGAAAATATATTGGAAAATTTTCAGAATTTCCTGTCATATTCTGACCTATTTTTGGAATTCGAAATTAATCCTGGTTAATTTTTAGTATATCATTTTAAAAGTAGTTAATATATATATACTATTAAATATATAGTAGCAATCAAAAATAATACAATACATAAACAATTTATTAATAAATTACAAAAAATACAAGTTTTTCTCTAGATAAAAGTTTTTAATTTTATTAATAAATATTTTTTATTTTATATCAAAATTATATATTTTAATATATATTTTTTCAAATTTTTTAGATTTAATCTGATAAAGTTGTTTTAATTATATATAAAGACAATAATTTATTATAATAAAAACATAAAAAATTATTAATTTTATATATAATTAAAACAAATTTATCAGAATAAATCTAAAAAATCAAAAAAAAATATATACTTAAATATATATTATTTTTATTTTAATATAAAAGTAAAAAATATTTATTAATAAAATCAAAAACTTTTTATAAAAAGAAAAACTCGTATTTTTATATTTACTATATGTTATTAATAATTTTTTTATATTATATTATTATTATATATTTTGTAATATTTCATACTTTACTTTTATTTATTTATAAAAATCAATAATTTAATATATTAACTAATATATATTATTAAATTTTTTGATTTTTACTAAAAAATTCAGTAATTTTTATTTAATATATTTCTAAAAAAAATTAGTAATTTTTAATAATTTTAATTTATTAACTAAACTTTTTTAGAAAAATTAGTTATTTTCTAATTTTAATTTATTAAATAATATATTTTGAATTATTTCTGAAAAAATCAATAATATTTATTTTTAATTCAGATTAATAAATATAAATTATTTAGAATATTTTGTATTATATTTTGCTCTTTTTTTAACTTTGTAAAAAAAGAATTAATAAAAAATAAAATTTTTTTAATTTTGAAAATTACAGAGTTAATTATAATAATTTTTAATTAAAAAATTTAATAAAAATCTAATAATAATAAAGAGAATGAAAAATATTATATTTTATAATTTTCAATTTTGAGCCAGATAAAAATTTATAATTTAATTTACTTATCTCTAATAATTTAATAATATTTTTATTCAAATTAAAATTGTAGATTTTTATATATTATATTTAGAAGTTACCGAATTATTTTTGTCTAAAATTAAGATAAATATATAATTTTAAATATATTAGTAAATATTAAAGTTATTTAATTTTAGTAAAATAAATATAGTAAGTTTATAAAAACAAGATTATAATTTATAAAATATTATATTTTAAAGTTGTTAAGTTTTTAAAAAAATTAATTTAATTTATAATATTTTATTTTATAATATATTAATTTGATTTTACAAAAATTTAGTTATTATTCTACAATTCTTAATAGATATATAATTTTATTTTGATTTAATTTAATTAAGTAAATTATAAAATATAAATTTATTTTTAAACAAAAAAAATAAGAAATTTGTTTAATAAATTTTAATATTAAATATTAAATATTATAATTTATAATTTAATTTAAATAATAATATTATTATTTAATTTAGTAAGTCTTGACAAATTAAATAATATATTTTTGTTTGAAATAAATTAATAAATTTTAATATAGTCAAATTTATATATAATTATATATAAATATAAAATATCTCTTTATAATTATATTTCTTTATCATTATTTAATTTTGCTTTTTTGAAAGTAATTAATATAGAAAAATTTAATTATATATTATATTTCAAGTTACTGAACAAATTTTTTATTTTTATTTAGATATTTATCAGATTTTAATTCAGTAATTTTATAACTTTTCTGAAACTAAAAACTGGATTTTTGTTTAATTATTTTGTTATAAAATAATCAAATTAGTATATAATTTCTGGCAAAAATAATTGCTAATATATTTTTTACTTATATCTTAATGAGAAATTATTCAAAAATAATGAAAATATTTAGATATTAATATATTTTTTAAAATATTGAAAACAAGTTTTCTTAATGTCAAAAGTATTTTAATATAGTAAAATTTTACAAAAATTTTTATGTTAAATGATTAATTGAAATTTTTAATATTTAAGTTAAAATAAAAATTATTTAAAAATATTTTTAATAAGCAATTTTGAATATTCAAAAAACGATTATATTAATATTTGAAGATTATTTATTGCATTATACACGTAATTATGGCAGATCAATCATTGATCAGAGTAGCAAAATTTTCATTCTTGATCCATTTCTGATTAATAATAATTTTTAAATTATAAAAGTTCCATTCTTGATTATTATAATCTGTAATTTAAAAACTCCTGTTTTTAATAATCAATTAATGAGATGTTAAATGTTTTTAGCGAATGAAATTATAGAGATTAGTCCTTAACAATCAAATAATACTTCTTTCACTTTTAGCATTAGCTTTTACTTCTGCTTTATTGTTTTCTGCAGAAAGATTAAGTAAAAAATTAATGTTATTTAATATATCCTCAATTATCTCTCCGATCCAAAATAAATAAAATCAATGCTTAGTTTTGAAAAAAGCTTATATCTAAAAATTTAGCCTATGAAACTATATTTTATATTATAACAACATTGTTCTCTGCAAAATCTACTATAAATAACAATCTTGTTTGCCAAATAAACATAACTGAAACTTATGCAAAAGTTACATTTTTGATGGATCTGTAATTACTTT